TGGTATGTTTTCCTTCATTGTTTCTTCAATGATTCCGGGTCTATGTGGTTGGTAAAATTACCCTAGGAATAGTCCATTGTAAGTTCGAGTTATAAAGTGAAACGATAAATTTTTAGAGAGACAATGAAGTGAAACCGTCAATTTCTCCCGATGCTTTGTAGATTAGTAAGTGGTTGGATTACACCAGCGGAATTAATTTTCCAAATACTTCACCTGATTTTTATGTGAAACATTTCCGTTCCACTTTTACCTATTGAATACTTTGGAGTAGAATAAAACTCAATGAAATACAATTTTAATTGTGATTTTTTCATTGATTTCAACAACACTTCTCTTGGAAAAGCATATGGAATGAATAATTTATTCATTACCAATAAATTCTCTTCTAGAATTTGACGAACAGTTCGTTTGATTCAAGTAAAAGATTATTATATGTTACTAAATTCGCTCTCTTCGCCATACTGTTAGAAAAAAAAAAAAATTCGTGGACAGTTGACTACCAATTTTCAGAACAATGAAACTGAATGCGATTTAGGGGAAAAAAATCATAAAATTTCAGGTTTCACTGAAAGTTCAGTACAATTCCAGAATTTCAAAGGGCTTCAAGACGAGAATCCCTTAATTTGTTTGAATTTCGAATCTAATATGAATATTTAGTGTCAAATTGCATCGAATATTCAGTGAAATCTGAAATTTCAGGATTTTTTTCGCCCCAAATCGCATTCAGTGTCACTGGCCTGAAAATTGAAGAGTATTTTTACCAGAATTTTCTGGTTTCCTATTTATTTTTAGGGGAAAATGGAACGAAAATTTACAGTTTTGTGCGATTTTTCCACGAAATTCTGAATGTTCAATGACAAGATTTCCTGAAATTTCAGTGGGATTGGAACACGATAAAAATATTTAGCATGGAATATTCAGGCAAAAATTTCTAACCGTGCATCTAAAGTTTAGATTCTAAAGGATAGTGATTGAACTTTCTAACTAATGAAACTTTTATTCGGATCAAAAAAACATGTATATTGAGAACACGATTCATTTCACGTGGATTTCTTTGATTAAAACAAAGTTTCTTATTCAAATCAACCATTTCCCTGGGTGTGGTTTACTCAGAATCTTTTAAAAAAGAAAGAACTAGCACACGTGTAAACATGTTCTAAGCATCTGTGAGACAATTTTATACAGAAGTACAAAATCGTCCAAATTGTTTATATTATTCGCAGACCAAAGAAAATCTTGAATTGAGAACAAGGTTTTTTAAATTGAGAACACATCTTGTTCATTCCAATTACGAAGATTATTCTCAAGATTTAATTTTTTTGTCCTGTTTGAGGACATGATGGCATGAATGGTTGCAGGTTGACACCAGGCGTAATCAAAACGGCAGGAAATTTCTTCCTAAATGAAACAAATAGAGATCCATTAAATTCCAGTAGTCTTTGAGATTTACACTATAGATTCCTGCATGACGAAATGAATTTGTCTAATATGTGAGCCATTTTGAGGTGACAATCTTTTTGATCTTTTTTCAACAAATTTGGAGACCACATTTTTTTCCCTCTGTTTGAGTAATTTAGAGTATTTGCATACATTTTTCAATTTTTGTTATTAAATAATTTTCATTGTTACGTTAACATTTCAATATACATTTAATTAAATTTTTTTTATAATCATCGGATCTTTTTTCTATCAAAAAACTGTTTTTCTTGTCAGTCATTTTAGTTTTCTAATTTTAGTTGTAAGATTAACCTTCTCTTTTTTTTCATCTTTTTTGTCGAAATATACTATTTTGTCACTAGGTTGAAGCTGAGGAACTTTTCTGGTGAATATATGTTACAAAACGCGCGGACGACGGGTTCCATAATCATATGAGGCAGAAAAGTTTTTGCGGCCGTGTATCGGACGATATTTTTCGTGTGTTGTTCGTTGTTGTAAAATAATTATTTGAATTATTCATTGCTCCATGAGAAGACAAAGCCCCATTGTATTGTGAAAAAGTATAGATAGGTAAATATTGATCAACCTTACATGGGGTGAGAACAGCAATGTGTTCATATAGAGTAGATATATGGATTGAAACATATAGGGGAGGGTGTGCCTGTACCGCCTAAGGGGAAATGCCAGTTTTATATTTTATATTTCAACTTGAGTATAAAAAACGTATTTGTGAGACTTCTTTAACTATTGAACTCGTCATTCTCGAAGTGTAGACGCCTAATTCTCCTTAGAATCCACAAAATTGTTGACAATTATTGACATGAGTGGAGTTTAGAGTTCGAATTGGTCTCAAATTACGCGTGAAAGTACCACGAATCGAATAACCACAGTTTAATATGAGAATTCAGCGTTTGAAACTATCAAAAACCTTAATTACAAGTCCACAAATTTTGCACTGTAAAGACCTCAAAACTTCGTTACGTGTTTTTTCATATTTAAAGTGGTAAATAAAGTGAAATTTTTCCGACAATCACATCCTATCATCAAATTCTTCATGATCAGGAACAGAAAGAAATTTTCAAGTTGATGGTTGTGGAGAAAATCGGGTGAGCGGTATTACCCGCTGAGCGGTACAGGCACACCCTCCCCTATCCGATAACATTATTCATGATCTATGATTCATGATCTAAACGAAAGACTGTTGCAAAAAGAAGAAAGAATCCAAAAAAAGAGTTATGCCATAACTTCAAGGGTGCCAGACCAGAGTATCGTAAGATACCTTAGGGACAGTAGCAGAGGGGAATTCCGGGAACTCCTATGTCCCCACTACGCGCGCCCATAGAGAGGAGAAAAATAGGGATCAGCGGGTTTCAAATAAGATACCTCGCTCGTTGCACGCGAATTCAATGAAATTTTCATTTTTACTGAATGAATATCGATAACTAATAAATTTATATGTGTTTAATGTTTTGAATTTGTATCGGCCGCGTTCCCTTTTCTCTCTAAACATAACCCCGCGTGATAGAATGGCAGTTAATGTTGGGGGATTATTGGTGAACTCGAGAATAATCACAGACGATTAATTACGATTTCTCGATGGGAAAAGTGGAAAAAAATCGATGTATATTTCCATTACTTGAAAAAGTGGTGTGACCCCCCCTTAAGGTCATTAGACCCTCATGACCACTTCTCTCGTCCCTCCCGTTTGACCCTTAACACCGTTTGTTCCTTATAACTACTCTCTTCCCCTTTGAGAAATGACCGCCAAATCCGGCGCGGTCCCGGTTGAGGAACGGGTCCCGAAGTTCGGCAGGCCGGCCACCGGGCTTGGGCCAAGCTCGGCCCATTCGTTTTTTCGTACGTGGGATAGGTATCTTATAAGAAGCCCACGGAACATAAATATTCGGGAGGCGATAAAACTGCCGAGAGTGGGGGTAGGCCTCGAGCGCTCAGAGCGCGAAGTATCTTATAGAGAGGTATCTTATACGAAGTCTCTACTGTATTATGAAATTACCGGTCTTATTTGCAAAACAATTGCTTTATCCATTTTTGAAAACGAAATTGTGTAAACTCTTGTGAAGTTCCACATACGTTTTATAATTTAAAAACACACTGAGAAAAAAAGTTTTTTGATAAGTACGTCCTCACTTGTGTCAAGAAACTCATGGTGCAAAAATTGACAAAAAGAAAATATCTTACACTGAGAAATAAAGAACTTTTTTAAAGAGATTTTTTTCTTTTCCCGAAGACGAGGATAATTTGTTTATGACGAGAAAGTGATTTCTCGAATCAAGTCTAGTTGAATCAATTTATTCAATAGTTTTTAAGTTTAGCCCGGTGGCCTGGCGTAGTGGTTAAGGCCGTTGCCTCACAACGGATAGGTTCCAGGTTCGATTCCTGGCCGGGTAGAATGGTGAGATCTAACCATTTTTAAAGTCTTGATCAATCGCCATATAGTCTCATCAGACTCGAAGCGATATAAAATAAGCATTAAAAAAAAAAAAAAATAGTTTTTAAGTCAAACACCGCCTGATTTGGTTCGAGAAGTCGTTTTCTTGTTGTGAACAAATTGCGCCTCCACTTTCGGACAAGTACAAAATCTGTTCGAAATCAGTTGTGGGCGGAATAAATTGCGATACCAACATCGGGCTTTTCCGTGATAAATGTTTTACGGGATGGCCAATAAGGTCACGAATGACCGTAAAAATATTTTGAAAATCTACTTATCATTTTTATTAATGATTATTAGTAATGAAACTGGGTGCGTTCCTCCGGTCCGGCTCCATGGAGTTTGGTCAAGTTCGGGTCCGCCAGGTCTGATCAAATTTGGCGTTACAACTTCCTGTTCTACGAGAACGTCCAAAATGATATGTTTCAGACGCCCCTGTATTTGCAAATTACTTTGTTTGGAATCACTTTGAAGTGCAATGAGAAGAATTGAAAGGAGACATTAAAACCAAAACTTGTTTGCAACTGTTATGACGTGTGAAACCATCAGAAATCATATTTGAACTCGTTTGTTTATTTTCGGGATAGGTGATAGACACAAAGAGATGGAACTTCGCGCACGCGCCACCCCATTTACTTTCGCCTCAGCATCACTCGAGTGTCGACACTCTCACTCGAGTTTTCTTCATCTGGTTTTCCCTCCGCAACTCAGTCGAGCCGCAAAGCTTGCGCGAAGCGTCTCGCCGAAAGCCTTTCACCGTTGCTCTCACCTTCGCACGATTCCACATCTCCGAGAGAGAAGTTGCAACGAACGTAACATTTCATCTGCAAGAACTTAATTTTTTTAACTTCAATTTTTTTATTCAAAAAAATGTAAAGACATGTTACAGTTGTCACCGCTCAATTCAATCAAATTGAACTGGAGAATTTAATTATAATTTAGTGAGGATACTATCTCAAGTTATAGTTGCACTGAGGACCATAAACTGCGGTGATGTATCCCAGGAACGTTGACTCGAGGGCTGCGACCCGCAAGTTGCTCGTTCAGCTGTTGTGTACCTCTGTGAACTCTTCAATGTGTGGCGCGGGTTTCTGTCAAGGAGCATATGTACGGGATGGCAACAATAGTGATATGCAAGACTCTTACTCTATCCAGCGTTAAATCATCTTGAAGGAACAAAAGTCATTCTTCACATCGAGGTAATTTCCTTAATAGTTGAATAAAATTGCACGCGGAAAAAATGCTAAATATTAGCTTTGAGTTCTCGTAATTGAGGTACATGTTGGCTTTCCAGGAATTTTTATCGGATCTCTAATAAAAATTACAGTAATTTTGTCGATTGTTGACGTAAATATGTAAATACACGGAGCAAATTATTTGGTGAATGTGAACAATTAATTGATGAACGTTCATCGAAAAATTAACAAACAGTTTTCAAATGAAATTGAATTTTTTTTCCTGAATTTCAATTGATTTGTTGTTAAATTTCACCAACTAATTGTGGAAATGCAATAACTGGTTGGTAGTTAATTTTTTTAATAACTAGTTGGTGGAATTTTACAATAAATTAATTCAGTAGCCAAGTGGTAAAACGGTTTAATTCGACTTATCTCCCGGTTGAATTTTTGAGGAATATGTCCGAATCCACGGGAGATAGCGAAATTTTCGTAATCACATTTGTTGTAGCTGTCAATCGCCTCTACAAAAAAGGTTATGACAAAAATTTTGCTATCTCCCTTAGATTCCGAGGTATTCATTGAAAACTGGCCAATAGTCAAAATTAACTTGTACCGTTTTACCCCGTCGTTTGTGAATTAAACATTAAATTAATTTTCACTCGGCTTTGCGGTCATTCGTAATTCCTCAGATGTTAGTGAGGTACATTTTTCTTTCGCGCTGTTATTTGAATCTCATTAAATTCGAACTTTTAACACTGAGAGGGACGCGATTCGCTATCCATTCACTTCTAGTGGTTCAAGACATGAGATTCACAGTTCGACAATGTTTAATTAGGTAATACACAAATTGAAAACATTGCGAGGCTCAACGCAATGGTTGAGTTGAGCTCAACGGAATCAAACTGTAATTTGAATTAATTAAAATTCAGACAAAATGTTTCAGTTTCATTCGACAACCATTTGTTAAATTTTCGATAAATGTACGTCAATTTTTTTGATGGATCAATATTCAGTTTTCTGGAGGAAAAAATTACAGACATTCCGTACTCATTTACGCTTGCATTGCTAGAAAAGTTGGAGCTATCTCTCGGGAGGATTGAAAAATTCATTGGTGAGAGTATTTTCAACTGAATGGTAATTTATTTTTTCAACAACTATTTGGTGAATTTCAACAATTTGATTAGTCCGCGCGCTCTGCGCGTGTATGTCCTACTCCGTGGGGCTTAATGTCTGTCAATTGTAGCGATTATTTTTCCCAATCGGATTTCGACCAATCAGAGCGCAGTATTTGAGGCTTCCCAAAGGTTTATTTAGGTTATTTCCTCCTAGTTTTTGAATATTTTGCAGTCCATTTCCTTAATTGACAATAGTCTGTCAATTATTTTTTCTTTTTTTTGAGAAATAGTTCCTACATTTTGGTGAAAAGTCACGTAACCCCGAGCACCGCAATCTGATCGCCCAAAATCAGGATTGACGAAATTATGTATCTTTCGAATACCTCTCGGCCTTCGAAATGCCTCAGATCACAGAGAAAAAAAATTTTGAATTTCAGGGACATGTCACTGATTTTCTAGAATGTATACCCAATTATAAGTGATTCACAAATTCAGTGACTTTGTCACAAAATTTCAGTGATATCATCACTAATTTTGAGAAACATTATGACTAATTTTGAGAGTAGTGTCTCTGATTTTCAGAAGTCCATGTCTAATTTTTGGGAATCTATCATTAAAATTCAGTGGTAAAGATCCCTGATAATCTGGGTCATTCTTGTCAGTATCCAGTATCACCAACAATTGGTGATAGATGTCTGAAATTCAATGACATATCCCTGGAAATCAATGACATGTCCCTTAAACAGAACGTTTTTTTCTCTCTGTGCACCCCCTACACCTCGCGCACATTTCACTTGTTTGATATCTATTATTCTACACGATAGGACGTTCCGAAAAAATGTTTTTTTTTGTCGAAAAATGATGAAATAAAAAATTGGAAAATTTTTGGTTTGATGTATTTAGTAATTTTTAAAAACAACAACAATTAAATGACCAATTCAGGGATACTTCATATCAAACTACCTGATAATTTGCCCTCATAAATTAAAATTGTTGTGAATCTTTTCTCTACCTTCCTCTCATCCGTCTTCATGTACGATCGTCGCTTTCTTCATCATTTTTTTTATCTCACTCCTTAACCCACGGACGTGTCCTATAACTTTTAATTTTTTTCATTATTTCTTTCACCCTAAATTCTTCTAATAATGGTACATCAGAGCAAAATAAATGTGCGGAGATAAAAATTCAATAAAAATTACCAGAAAAAAAACGTAAACATTACGTTTCGGAACGTAATTCGCCAGCGAAGTAAAATTTAATAAAAAGTGTGAGTCGGACAACAAGTCGTTCCGTAATTTTTCCCCAACGATTGAGAAATTTTACGGAACGGAACGTAGAAATATCTCACTAGCTTCATAAAAAATGTTGAACGTTCAAGAATTTTTGATTTTGGAGGCATAATAAATGGGGAAGTTTCTGTAAGATTTTACTTCTTCGGGAAAAATTGTAACAATTTCGTACTTTATTCGGTGATGAATCTGAGAATTCGTAGAACGTTTCAGATTTCTTCTTTTCCATTCCTACAAAAATTGCCGGAATACGATTCCCCATTGCGGATTACGTGAATTGTTCCGTAATTTTTACTGAATATTTCTCTCCGTGTGCGAAACTCTTGAGCCCTTGGCTCGGTCGGCAAACATCGCATTTGTAGAAAACGGAATTTACGCTCGAATGCTGGAATGCTCTATGATATTTTATATCACTCCATGCAGAAGCAGAGTGCAGCGTGCAATAAACTCGACTTATTGCACGAAGTGATATAAACTTTTATTCATAATGAAAGAGCTCTTATCATGAAATACTGGATTTCCCTGAAAGGTGAGAAAACGTAAATGAAAGAAAAAAAAACGCATTAACGAATTGTCATCACATTCTTCTTATCATTATAATTTTATTTTCCTCTTATTTCCCGTCAAAAAATAATGGAACAACTTGCAACGTAACTCCTTGAAACATCGGAGAAAAAAAAGCAACCGAGCGTTTACACGCCAGGGTCGAAAAAGTTTATTATGATGAGCAAAATCGAGAATACTCACCAATAGTTGGCAGACGGAGTGGCCCTCCGTGTGTATTGAGGTTGGGTACACTCCACCCACGACCTGATGCTTGAGAGAACAATTTTTGGATAATTTTCGTTAACGAGGCTGCTCGAGCTCTTTGCTCTCTTGTTCATGACTGATGAAAACACCAGACGAAAGAAATAGCAGTTGGAAAAGTTGCGATTCAATCGAGATGAAGTAGTATCGATTCGTTTGATGTTCACTGGTACTTTCTCCCTGCTGGATTAGAAAACTTGGTGCATTGGCTTGCTCTTCAATTCAAACAATCAGCGTCATTAGAAAAAAAATAAGGAATCGAATGGTTTTATTAATAGAAAAAAGGAAATGAGAATTGGGAAGAAGGAACTTACTTAATTTTTCATCTATTTACGGGACAAGCGGCGAGGGAAACAATTGTTTATTTTTTATGGGCTTGATAACTTTTCATGTAAACAGGGTGTTTGTGGCAATTATTCGATGTTAACTCTCGAAATTTGGCAAATTTATTATGTAATAAAGTCGCAGAAATAATCCATAAATTGCAAATGTTCATTCAATTCTTGATAAAATTTTGAATATTAAGACATAAACTAATTAGTCGTTTAGAAATCATTTATCAAAAAGAGTCGTCATTTCCACACATTCAGTTCAGGTTTTTTGAGGGGTGAAATATTTCAATTTGGAATGATAACTGTGCATTGGTCTCAGCGAGCTTGAGCAATTTGACGATTAGAGAATGTCTTTTATGCTTTAATGAAGAATTTCTTCTTTGTTAACCATTCTCTAATTGTCAAATTGCTGAAATTTAATTCATGGATTAGTTTTTTTTATTTTGAATTTATTCGATAATCGGTTGTCCCACGATAACTAAAAAAAATGTTCTGAATTGATTAACTGATTGATTGAATGATGGCTTAAAAAAATTGTTGGAATGTCCCGTCGACCGAGTTTGAAGATGAAGGCTATAGGAATAATCATTATATTGATTTATTCGAAAATTTTCAAAAATTTTGTATTTTCTGAAAATCTGAATTCCGGGAATATCTTTGAATATCATGCTTCAAATGAATTCAATCATAGCTTAAAATGTTTTTTTAATGCCATTAAGTCGAAGTTAAAAGATGACTACGATAGCTATATTGGTTGATTTTATTTTTATGATGATTGTTAAAAATTTTGAATTTTCCACGAATTTCCCTGAAAGTGAGCTCCCTGATGGTTTCTTCAAATGTGATGTTTCAAATCCATTCAAGTATGTGTAAATAAAAGTTTTCTATTAACATTTTATCGAAAGGCTGGGGGGAGAGGTACCCACGTACGAAATGCCAGTGTTGGAGAAACGGGCCAAGCCTGGCACAAGCCTGGGCTTGCCAAGCCTGGGCGCCCAGGCTTGGACCGAGGTTCGGCCATCCCTGGGGACCAGGGCTTGAGTCTCGGGAGAAGGGCAGGTAACCGAGCCTTGGTTGACAGATCTGGCCCAGCCTTGGCCGGACACTGGCATGCCGGAGCTCGATAACCAAGCCTCAGCCAGCGGTGGCCCGGAGCTTGGTCATTGGGCTCCAGCCGTTGGTGTAACTGTAAGGGTTAAGTCGTAAGGGTGAGATGATGAGAATGGAATCATAGGGGTGGAATCATAAGGNAACTGTAAAAATGACAATCGGTTGTATAGAAGAAACGGGATAATAAGAATAATGATGCTGATAACATTCAAATAAGTTGAAAATCTGACAAAATTAGATAAAAGGAAACCTTATTCAATTTAATAAAATGAAATAAACCAGGAATTATACGTGATAGAAGTAAATGATGTGCAAAATAACCATTTGGAAGCATATTGCTAATTTATTAGCAAAAATAACTATATTATATCCAGTACAAGAGCAATGTCCCACTTGTTTTACCCTATTTTGTCCTTTTTTTATTCTGACTCTCATTCTGATCCCTATCCTCTTGGTCTCGCGTTTTCATTCTCCGTCTTCTTTTTCTCCTACCAGAAGTTTAAATTTTTATTTATTGAGATTAAGATTTTTTTATGCAGAGATAACTTCTCTAACAAAAAGCTAATAGGGAGAGCTTCTCAAACAAGAACAATTGTACTCATTTTTAACATAACTTATTCCTTAATTTAAGAAAATACTTCTCTGTGATCAAGCGCCGATGAATATCGTTCAATTAAACTTTCAATGAAATAGTGATTACTATTCCCACATTAACAAAACTGTTTTCCCCTCCCCTTCGTTGTCCATTTTTCCCCCGAGGCAGAAGAGATACTAGGAGAAAGGAGTGTAATAAAACCCAGGGAAGATTTCGATAGTCTGAGGTGCCGCATTCCTGGTCGCTCTTCCCTCATCATTTTCACGATCGAGTCCCTCCGGATGAACCGTATTCCCCGGTAACCCATCAATAGGCCGGCTCACTGCCCCTCAATAATACATTTTCCGCACCCTTATCCCCATTTTGGCACATCTTTCATCTGTAAATTCTTTATGTTTTCGTGGTCCTATTATTATAAATGTGATGTGAACGTTAACACGAATATTATTTCCCTCCCTGGTTTTCTACAAATATGGGGCGGATCAATTTATTGAACAGAAGGAGGTGGAATTTACCGGAGGGAATTTATTTTAGATCCTTCTGCTGACCGGGAGCGAGTAACGCATTTTCTCGGGCCATTTCTTCGAGAAAATACGTTTTCACCGGTGAATAGTGTGGTATAAAAATCGATTCATGAAATTATGTAATATTTTTTTCTGTAATAACTGAAACTGAGAGGAACATATCAATGAATCAGTAAAATTGACCGATTTTGTATATTTTTTCTTGAAATTGAGAATATTCAAGTACTTTGGTCATTTTTCCTCCAGTAAAATGCTCTTCTACTTTTCTAGTCGAGTATCAGAGATTTCATTTGACCATGCACTGTTAGAAATTTTTTGAAATCTCATGGAAAATATGGTAAGAATTCTCATGAAAGTGTATAATTCAGTAGCGAAGTGGTAAAACGGTACAAGTCAATTTTGGCTATCGACCGGTTGTCAATAAATATCTTGGAATCTAAGGGAGAAAGCAAAATTTCTGTTATAACCTTTTTTGTAGAGCTGATTAAGAGCTACAGCAAATGTAATTACAAAAATTTCGCTATCTCCCTTAGATTTGGAAATATTCCTCAAGAACTCAATTGGGTGATCAGTCGACTTAAACCGTTTTACCACTTCGCTACTGAATTCGAGTTAAGGAAAAAATGGTTATGAAATTTCGAGTTTTGGGTAGAATTCAAGGAAATCCATAAGTTTTTAGGGGAGTGAGGCGGAAAGGCTCAGAATAAAATGATGAAGATATTTTTCTGCTATCGAAAAGCTCGCAATTGATGTGGAAATGTATAAGAAACATATTTCGTACTCCATTCAATTATGAACCAACTGGAAATTTGAAAAATCTTAAATTCTGGGGTTGAAATATTTTCAGAATTCAGTAGGAAATCATTTGAATTTTTTTGAGAGAAATATTCAGTAAAAATTACGGAACAATAATTCACGTAATTCGCAATGGGGAATCATTTTCCGATAGTTTTTGTAGGAATGGCCGAGAAGAAATCTGAAACGTTCAGTGATTTCTCAGGTTCATCACTGAACAAAATACGAAATTGTCACGTAATTTTTCCCGAAGAAGTGGCGATTACGCGTACAATTCGTATTACAATCGATTATTCGTACAATTTCAGTTCCGACGCACACTTTTACTGAATTTTACTTCGCTCGCGGATTACGTTTTGAAACGTAATTTTTACTTCTTTTTCTGGTAATTTTTCTAGAATTTTTCTCTCCGTGTGTTTTTGACACTTATGCTTTCATTGATTTGGGGAGCGATAGACTTATGTTCATGCACAATTATACGGAGAGAAATTTTCTAGAAACATTTTAGTACGAGTACTGGAAAAAATCACAGTCCACCGACTGTGAAAAATTCTAGTGCTGTTCATGTAAAATTTCTTGGTATTTCTGGTAAAATTTCCAGGGATGTCTGTGAAATTTTCACAGAAGTACGGGAAAAAATTCACGTTTTCTCCAATAAAATTTCTAGTGCCGACACTGGAATTTTCTCTGACCGTCACTTCGCGCCTCTTTTCCCGTGCTAGCACTAGAATTTTTCTAAAAAATTTCTCTCCGTGTAAAAAAACTTGCAATTTCGTGGACATTTTTATGGTAATTCTCAGGAAAGTCTTTTGTTCACAAAAAAAAGTCGGAAACTCAGATAGATTGGATCGCAGTCTTCCTACTCGAATCAAGTCACGATAAAAAAATCAAGAAATCAGAAATTTTTCTATTGGGTGCAATTACCTTGAGCAATCACAGAGAAAAAAAGGTCCTGGTTCTTAAAATAAGAACCATTGGATACTGAACTCAAGAAGCCTAATGGAGTTCTTAAATTGACGTCCTTGTCTCCTCAAATTATCTTCGTTAATTACAGTATGACATGACAACCTAGACAACCCTCTCCGTCATGAACCGTCACAAATTACGAAGCCCCCAATGTCATACAAAATTGGTTGTTTGTGATATTGGCAATTGGTAGTTTGTCAAGTACAAATGCCCTCAGCGGTTCCTATTTTATCCCACGGCTTCCTCTCACGGTACCCCACTTGCGTCCTCCCCCGCCGTGCGTATCTTATGGTGCACTAATAGTCTGATAGACCCCCTAAGCCTCTACCACCGAAACGATTCGCAACGTTCGTGCAGCAAAGAGTTAGCAATCCAGGGTTCCTGATTTCAGTAGACAACGGTTCTTGATTCCACTGCCATGGTTCTGGATTTTTGCATGATTTCCATGGCACTTTTTCCAAAACATTTCCCCCCGCCTACCAGAATGAAGTTTTAAAGTAGAACACCCAAAAAAATAATACGCGATTTTAAAATTTCAAAGGTCTTAAAATAAGTCATTTTTAATAGTTTTAAATTGAAGTTTAACATTTGTAAGTTGCGAGTTTCGAGAATCTCAATTTGAAACTTTAAGATCTCAATTTAAGTCGTCTGAAAGGTGAAACTCTCAAGGTGAAATTTTTGAAAATCTCAATTTGAGACTTTTAGTCTCAAGTTGATACTTTTGAATATCTCAAGTTAAGACTTTCGTAACTAAATTTGAAATTTTTCTTTAAGGGGAGTTCTAAAGGTCTCAGCTTGAGACTTTTGAAAGTCTCAATTTGTGACTGTTGAAAATCTCAACTTGAGACTATTGAAAGTCTAGTTGATTTTTGAATGTTTTAAATTGAGACTCAAAATTATCAAATTGAGATCATAAGTATCAAAATAAAGCTTGTTTTTTTAGTGCATTAATAAACACCAGTTCGGTTGTTGAGGATAACAACGAAAGTTAAATTCAAAAAAGGAGAAAAAAATCAATTAAATTAATTTTTATAATTTAATTATAATGCATCATTGATAATTTTGCGCATGAATTCTAATTTTGATGAGTTTAAGATGTATCAAACTTTTTCATCAATTATTTTTCAAAGAATAGCTTCTCGTTTGACTAGGGTGTTTCGACATAACACGCCCTTTCGGCCACGCAGAAAAATAAATTATTTATTACAAAAGTTTCACACTGACTATAATTTTCATATTAAGCATAAAATTTTTATTTATTTTCTTTAATGTTTCGAGGTTTTTTTCTAGATTTTAATCTTCTTCCTACTTTTAAAAAGTTCCTTTTCTTATAAGACTGTCTTGGTTTTCAACTTCTAGACTAATTATTACCAATAATACTAAACTGCCGATTAAGCACAAGTTCAACGAGAATATTTATATTCATATTAACTTTCGTTAGAACTTATGTTAAATTTTTACCAATTAAAATGACAACCCAACATTGTTAAAAATTTTCGTCTGAATTTTCCGTGTCAGTTTATTCATGATTATTTTCCACTGGATTTTCAGGAAATCTTGTCATTGAAAAATCAGATATTCCATTGTTTTTCTGTTTGAATGATGTGAAAATCAAGTAAATTTTTGATTTTTCAGTTCAATATTTCCGTTAAAATTTGAAAAAATTAGGACAATTCCAGACAAAACTGAAAATTCATGTGATTTTGTTTCTAAATATTCACATTTCATTAAAAATTCAATCAAGTTGTGAATTTTGTGTCTCACTGTCACTAAAAATTCTACCTAAAATTTGAAATTTTCCACCATTTTTCTCCTAAATCGTATTCAATATCACTCCCATGAGAATTACTACGATATTTTCCGGAAAATTTCCAAAAATTTCTAGCAGTGAAGTTATGTTTGTACTACTGTTACACTGAGAGAAAAATCTGAAGTTCGATTTACAATAAGAAAATAGTTGAGGCATTTTAGTGAACGATACGATTTTTTTTGTATGCGGCACATTATAGTAACTTCACAAGCGTAATTTTTGCAAATCAAAATGCAATTAAACTAACCAAAGTTCAAAAGTAACCACAACAAATCTATTGTGAATAGAACTATAAAATAGTTGCAATGACTTCATTCCATTGTAGTAATTACTTCTCCGCCCATAGTTACCGTAACCCATGAAAAATTGTTGAGGACTTTTTGACTATAATTCGAAGGTGATGGAATATAGTCAGAAGAATTATATTTTTCTCTCAGTGTAACTACCACTTGAATCATTACTTTTTTCTTCGGGTGTTGAAGATGCTGGAGTACTGGATGGCTATCAACGATACCGAGACAAACGAGAGTGTTGAACTCGACGAGGTCCTAGAAGATCCCGGCTCAGCAGCTCTCTTCGACGGTTATCCACCCTGGCTCCTCTACTTTGCTGCTGGCTGCTGTCTACTCTTCATGCTCATTGGTATACCCGGCAATCTCATCACTGTGGCCGCACTCTTTCGCACTAAGAAGGTAAAGTTGTTGGAAAATCCTTATCACAATCTCTCTTCTCTTCCTCCACTAATCATTTATCTTTTATTCATGAAACCGTGCTTGAATTGTTGATCCAACGTGATTGCTTATTCCTGTGGTGTCGTTGCACCCACCCCGTCGACACTGATTCATTCTATCGTGCATTAGCAAATCTTTGAGGAGAAGCGTGATGCCAATGATTCTATTCACTCATTTTTATGCAATACCATTTTTTTTCACTCCGATTATTCGCTATTTCTTTTTGCCAAAGTTTTTCAGGGATGATTTTGGGGTTTCTGATCCTTTGTACTTCAAGGAGGAGTAAACAAGTGTGTTCGGTCGGGATTTCCCTTCGAGAAAAAAGCTTTCACGTGCTCCGAGTGAGGGAGTGTATTCAGAAAACGCTGTGTAATGCAAAGTTACTAGGGAAAATTAATGAAGAGGAGAGAATGGTTTGGAGAACATTCTCCCTCTTCTCTCCCAGCTGAGGGGGGAGGGGGGGGGTGAAATGTCGGGGTTATTTATTGAAAATTTTATCTATGAATTTTTCCCCAATTCATTTTGCGTAGGATAAAATAAATGTTGAAATCCTTCCAAGTATGTTTTAATGCATAAATAATTCGACAGGAGATGGGAACGAACAGAAGGTGTAGAAAAGGGGCCTGAAACTAGTAGGTTTGAAGAATGTGCGTCTCCAAATAGAGTGCTAGGACGCTGAGTCCGGATAGAGGATGAAATAAATAGACACAGACACCGGTAAATTAAATAGCCAGTGTGATTTAAGCCATTTCTTGATACACACTGTTAGAAAAAAAAATGAGATTTCATGGACAGTTAACTACTGACTTTCAGGACGGTGACACGGAGTGCGATTTAGGCGGGAAAAAATCATCAAATCATGAAAATTACAGAATTTTAAGCAGCATAAAGACGAGAGTTCCGTAATTTATTTGAATTTTGAATTTTAAATATTCATATGGATTTGAATCTATAGAATTAGTACCCAATTACATTCAATTTTCAGTCAAATCAGAAATTTCATGATTTTTTCCCCCTAAATCGCATTCAGTGCATAGATCGGCATCGATCATTACTTTTAGTAATATTATGAAAAGTTGCACTTTATAGTAATTTGCATTTATTTATATTGATTCAAATTTGAAAATTAATATAATAATTGTCAATTTAATTTCTCAATTATTGGCTGATAAAATAATTCGAATTTGAATATTTAAGTTGATGATTGAAATAAAAAAATTATTCGGAAATAATTCGGAATTTGAAAATTTAAATTGATGGTTATTTTTAAAAAGCAAAAAATTGGTGAATAATATTACCCGAGTCGAATATCTGGACCTTATCCCCCCTATTATCTCCTTGAGATATTTTTTCCTCCTTTCTTCATCCTATACATCCTGAATAACTCCTTATATGATCCTACCTCATCCTAAAGGCGTAAAAACCTTTCTCAACTGATACTTTTTTCCCCCTTCTCCTCCTGTCGAATGAGAAGGAATCATAAATCCCCTGAATTAACCCTGATAGCCAGGATGATCTGTTTGTAGGTTCACTCCAGGAGGGACGGAGTGGAAAACATTTTAGGGGGTGCAGGCGATAAATAGGTTTAACACACCTCCTGTTTTCCTCCTGAACCCCCGGAATTTGGAAATAAATCGCACGTTCAGGCGAAAACCAGGGGGTCTTTCTGAATGTAAATAGGCCCTAACTTCATCCTGGTCCTCTTACTCATGATAGGTGGTCAAGGGGGAATTCAGGTCCTAATATTCGACTCGGGTAGCAATTGACTTATTCCAAATTTATTTGAAATTCAAAATTTCGATTATGCCGATGTCTGATTCAGTGCCACTGTCCTGAAAATTCAAGAATATATTTTTCATCACAAGGTCCACAAAGTATTTTCTGACGAATGTGGCTTTGTAGGCCGAGCCGAAGGCGAGGCCTATAATCACATTCGTCAGAAAATACTTTTGGACCGTGTGATGAATGCAATTTTTCGTTAGAAGGCCCGTAAACCGCGATCAAACCCAGCGAAGCGAGGTTAGAATCGCGGTTTACCGGGTCTTCTCACGAAAATAACTATTCCGGAATTTTCTGGTTTTCGATTCATTTTCAGGAGCTGAAATTTACAAAAACCTGATCAAGTTCTGATCGTCCTTCAGGTGGGGCTGAAGTAATTTCCACTGGGGAATTATTTTACGCGTGAAGTTGAAGCGTAAATGATGCACAAAATCATCGTAAATTACGGTTACATAAACGTAATTTACGGTTGCATATTCATAAAATACGATGATTAAAAAAGTGATTTCAAGCGTAAAATACCATGATTTTTTCGCAAATTACGCATAAGTAAAGCGTAAAATACGTCTCTATTAAGATCGTAATTTACGATTCCTTAAGCGTGAAATGTGCTTAGTGAAACGTAAAAGTCGCTTTATTTGAACATACAATTTACGTTTTTATTTTCACCATAAAATACACGCTTTTGAAGCTTAAATTCCGATTTTCATGACGGAAAAAAGCTCCCACACATCATATTGGCGTCAAGCGTAAATTACGTTTAGCAAACCGTATATTTCGCTTTTAGCAAAACATAATTTATGTTTAGGTTTGTCCGTGTGAAAGATATCAAAAATGTTCCATTATACCCCTCTCATAAGGCATATGAATATGTGTATAAAAAAAGGATTCATCAATCAGTGGTTTATTGAAATCTATCGTAATTCATTCGTACATCACAGAAGAAATCTCAGTGAAAATTTATAGCCCAGCAAAAATCATTACATACTGCTTTCCGAAGAGTCATCCCTGAATTTCAATGCCCGATCGTGAATCAATTATCTCTCCACACTAGAGAATAGCATGTTAAATAAACTGAAAATATAGACACCGATAAAATGGAAAAGACAACACCAGAAATAAATTAATTCTCAACTGATAGAAATGGCAACGAGTGGTGAATAAACTAGGCCAATTTTCCGAGTTACACACCCATTAATAACTTAACGTTCCCCATAATCATATTCTCGTCTCTCCTGGGGACATTAAGGTACGCAAACGGCACTCGGGAAAATGATCATTGCCGTATAACGGAATAGAATGGGCGTAACCCCGTCATTGCATATAACTTTCGCCAGACAAATTAATTGGACCACTCGAACGATATTACTTGCATAAAATAAATAATTAGCTAATGCCGTAATTCATTCATTTCGTCGGAACGATCATTCTATTTTTAAATATTACTTCCCAATGGAAGCTTTTTGTGGTTTCGAAATGGAAGCGTTGAAATCGCTCAATATTCACATTGTATAATTTTACACGGAGAAAAAGTTGCGGAAAAATTCATCACGGAAATGACGTAAAAATTGCGTTGTTTGATGTAATTATGATGTAGTGTCGCAGAATCTCCAAAATCATTGCTGTCCCACGTACGAAAAAACGAATGGGCCGAGCTTGGCCCAAGCCCGGTGGCCGGCCTGCCGAACTTCGGGACCCGTTCCTCAACCGGGACCGCGCCGGATTTGGTTGAAACCTGGAATGATAACATCGGGCNGGTGAATTTTTGTGGAGTGTCAGGTAAAAATTACGGTTCACGTAAAAATTACGTTCCGGTTCATCAAATTTACAGAACTCGAAAGAGAAAATTCTTTTTTCACTCCACATTTTTTTCAAGTTTTTACGTAAAAATTCCCGAAGGAGCATTTCGGGATTTAATTACTATTGTTGATAATTCGTTTAGTAATGGTGAAAAAACTGATTTTCTCCTTCAAATCGCATAAACAATGTGCTGTAAATCAACAACAAATTGTGCGACCCCCATCATATTCTGATAGAATCAAGAGGGTATCGTTATCAATTTTTTAAACCATAAATGTTCCTATTTTGATGACAATTTTTTAAGTGATAGCTGAAAAATCGACTTTTCGAAAAATATAAATTTTTTAGAATCTTTTTAAAAAATTAAATTTTAATTGGTGTCAATGAATAGAGCTTATTAAAGTCTATATTCGTGAAAAAATTCATGAAATTCGATTGATCCCGTATAAGAAAATTTCTAGGAAAAAATGAAGAAAAAAGACCACATACATACATACACACATGCAGACATCATCTAAAAATCCCATATTCAGACTTTTTAGACCATATTTAGTTATCCTAACACAAAAAATTACAAACGTAAATTTGAGCGATTAGAAAGCGTCCATTCGGAAGCAAAAAGTGCAATGGTGAACAAGCAGTCACACGGCGTAACTTAAGTCAAACAATTCTATTCAACTTTGCATGTAAATATATTATCTTCAATACCTCAAAAACTACCGGACCAATTTCATTTTTGTTTTCAAAGTATTCATCTCAATGCCTCGTATCTCAATCCATCTCACTTTGATATACAACTTTGTATGTGAATCTATCTCATTCAATACCTCAAAAATCACTCAACAGATCAGCAGTAAAGTGCACTGATAGACTGATTCATTTATTCCAAACGAGATTCGTTAACTATTAACGAATGGTAGAGTTGCATATGACCAAATGAATATTCGTTGATAGATAACGAATGGTTCACTTGAAAAGTGAAAATCGAGTCAAACAAGCCTTCTCAAATGTGCATTTGTTAACTATTAACGAATGAACATTTGGTGAGACCGAATAGACCCTCGTCTCTAACCAAATCCATTCTTCAATAATAACTGATCTTTTCTATCAGTGTGGTTGAACGGTTTAAGTCAATTTAGTCTTTCTTTGAGTTTTCCAGAAATATTTCCGAATTTAAGGGAGATTTTAAGCGAAATTTTCATACTAACCTTGTTTGAAACGCAGAAAATATTTCACTATCAAAATTACCGGGCTCAACGGAAAATCTCGAACGACTTCGCGACCCTTCGGGTTCACGCGGAAATCACGAAGCAAATCGCCAAATATGAATTTTCAGTAGTATCAATCTATTCCTCAAAGAGTATACATCGGTTAGTCAGAGA